GCTGCTGCTGCAGCAGCAGCAGCAACACCAGGGGGCCCCCAAGGGGCTGCTCCCCTAACATCCATAAGAAACTTCGCCGGAGCAAAACTGCTGAAGCCAGAGGTGGGCTTGGCCTCTATTTGGGGCTTGCTGCAGCGCATGGATGCACACATGCATGCACGCATGCATGCACACATGCATGCATTGATGCATGCATGCACACATGCGTCTCTAAGTATTTGTACTTCTAGCCGCCATCATGTATATGTATATTGGCAGTAGCAGCAGCAGCAACAGCAGCATCTGCTGCTGCTGCAGCAGGCGCCAGGGGGTCCCTCATTGTGCTGCTGCTGCTGCTGCCGCCGCTAGCGCAAATCCACATACTTTTGCATGTATAAACACACAAAGATGATACGAAATTTATCTTCTGTTCATAAATATATATCCTATTGGCACTCTCGTGCATATAATTAAAAAATGACGGCATCAAAGAGCAGCAAGAAAAGCAGCAGCTATGCATTTGGCGTGTACGTACAGCTCCTCTGAAGGTGGGGTGTCTGCGTTTGTGTTTATTGTTTATTATTTGTGGATTTATTTGTTATTATTTATTTATTATATTTACTTATTTTATTTTTAGGAATTGGCGTTCTGCGAAAGCGCCAATTTGCCTCCGATTTATTTTCTGCTGGCGAAGCGGATGCTGGTGCAGGAGCTCTCTGTACACCGCAAGGTGCTGGACAAGCCTTTGGAGCTGCGTGGGTTCTTCACTTTATTTTTATTTTCAAATTTATTCTTCTTCTTTGCTTCTTTGCCGGCTCTCCAGCTGGCTAGCAGCCTGTGCCCTTGCCCTTAGGCTTTGCCTCTGCCTTTATAGCGCCGTGCTACAGGCAGCGAGGGTTTAGGGTTTAGGGTTTGGGGTTTAAGGTTTAGGGTTTGTGTGCCGCAGTAGTGCGCCGCGTGGGCCAGCTCTACGACTTCCAGTTAAACATGTGGCAGTTTGCTACTGCTCCCCAAGCCTTGGGGGGCACCATAGATGCTCCTAAGGAGCTGTTGGGGGGCCCCCAGGGGGGCCCCCCAGGGGCCCTTCAGGCTGCTGCTGGGGCCCCCAAGGCTTGCGCTGAGGGGGAGCAGCAAAAGGCGCCGCTGCAGCAGGAAGGCAAGGCGTTGCTGCTGTCGCAAGTTGTGCAGCCTGGGGTGTATAGACAGCTGGGCGGGGCCGTGGAGGAGGAGGAGCTGCAAGCCGCTACTGCGGCTGCTGCTGTTCCTACTTTAGGGCCTGCTGTTGCTGCGCCAGCTACAACGGCAGCAAGCCAGCAGCAGTAGCAGCAGCAGCAGCAGCGGCAGCAAGTGCAGAACATGCGCAGCAGCCCGCCTCCGCAATGTATCTCTGTCGCTTTTTATGTTTACCTCCAAGGGGGAAGCCTTTTGGGCAATTCCGTCGTTTAAAGACAATTAAAAACAATTAATTGTTTGTTAAATAATCGCATTAAATGCAAATTAAGTCGGCAGGGCGCAGAAGGGGTGCTGCGGAAACACGCGGGTTGTAGAGACACTCTCAGGTAACTGCACTGTTTTCGACTCCAGCGCCTGGGGGAGCTGGCGAGGCGCAGCAGCAGACATATAACTAAATTTATATCCTTTTCTTGTATTAATTTGATTGTAATTTATTAATTAGAGTAATTAGATCGGAATGAGCACTAGAGTTGCACTGAATTGGATGCGCGAAGCCCTCCTGGAGTCTGCACACTGGGCGTCGCAGAACAGCTGGGGGTGAGGCCGTGAGGTCTTGCTGCTGCTTCTGGCCTTGATTTTATTGCAAAAGCTGATTTTTTCGTTTTTCCTTGGTTAATTTGTTAAATTTTAATTAATTACACTTTTAATTTCATTTAATTTGGCAAAATGGATCGCCCAAAGCGCAGCAGGCCCGGCGCAGCCCCTCAGCGGCGCTGCTACTGCTGATGGGGCCCCCAGCCCCAAACGAAGCTCTTGATCCTAAAATAGCTAGCTGAACTCCAACTTGATCTGAATTTAATTCAGTTTTTGAAAATAGTTGCATTGATTTCGAGTTTACGCGACTCAGCTGGCGCTGCTGCTGCTCTTGCTGCTCCTGCTGCTGCAGCTGCAGCAGCGCTGCAAACGACCCCACAAGCAGCAGCATAAGTTAACACGCATCGAAACGGCAGCAGACACTTCAAGTTGCTCTTGCTATTGTCAACATGCACTGCAGCGGTTCCCCGGGCGCATGCACGCGCAGCGGGTGTGTTGCTGTTGCTGCTGCTGCTGCCGCCCGTTGGCTGCAGCAGCAGCCGCTGCAGCAGCTGGCTCAGCTGCAGCTGCAGCCGCAGCGGCATGCAGCACAGATACCGAGTAAGATGATTAGTTCTGTGGTCGGGGCTCTACACCTCGGGGCTGAACGCAGACAAGTTGGTGTTGCCTCACCAGCTGCTGCTGCTGCTGCTGCACATGGGGGGCCCCATGGGGTCCTTCAGGCCCACAGCAGCGGCCCTCTTCGTGTGGATGGAGTTTCAGCAGCAGGTCGTGGCTTCGCGAGCGCAGCAGCAGTGCCGCTTGCTGTTGCTGCAGCTGGACAAGCAGCAGCAGCAGCAGCAGCAGCAAGACACACAGGAGCACTTGCTGCTTCGGGAAACGCAGCAGCAGAGGAGCTGCTGCGCGTGAGCACAGGGACTGAGCGGCAGCAGCTGAAGCAGTCGTCAGAAGCCGACGGAGCAGCAGCAGGCGCAGCAGCAGGAGGTGCAGCAGCAGCAGCAGACACAGCAGCAGCAGCAGCAGATGCAGTCGACGAGCAGCAAAATAAGGGGCCCCACAGCAAACCCCCACACAAAGGCTTTTCTTTGGGGGCCCTTCTTTGGGGCGCGGGGACCCTTGGTGGGGCCCTTTGGGTGGCAGCTTACATGAAGCAGCACAACTTGAGTTTTACAGGCAAGTTAGGATTTAGGGTTTAGGGTTGTGGAGCCAAGAAACAGGGTTTAGGGTTTAGGGTTTAGGGTTTAGGGTTTAGGGTTTGTGGCTGCAGAGTTCTTGAAAGAGATGTGGCAGGCGGCGGACGCCCAAATGACCAAAACGGCCCAGCAGGTTCAAAACGCCGTAGAAGATGTACGCAGCTGGCTTGCTAGCTAGCCTGATAGCTAGCTATCAGGCTAGCAAGCAAGCCAGCTAGCTGGATGGCTAACCAGCTACCTAGCTGGGTAGCTAGTTGGCTGGCTGGCTGGCTGGTTGGCTAGCTGGCTAGCTAGGTGGCTAGCTAGTTAGCTGGCTGGCTAGCGAGCTTGCTCGCTGGCTGGCTAGCTAGCTAGCTGGCTAGCTAGATGGCTAGCTAGTTAGCTGACTAGGTAGCGAGCTAGCTAGCTGGCTAGCTAGCTGGCTAGCTAGCTGGCTAGCTGGCTAGCTAGCTAGCTAGGCAGGCACCGAAATAGCTGTTTGTGTTGCTTTTGGAGCCGCTTAAGAAGTGTTTGTTTTGCTTTTGGAAAAGTGGCGGTGAGCTGCTGCAGCAGAGCTGGGGCGTGCGTATACCGCAGGTGGTGTGCGGGGCCTTTCCCGAAGACCCCGAGCCGCTGCTTCCAGATTTAAAAGAACTTAATTATCCCGAAAACCTCCCGACCCTCGTCTTGGACTTCGACGGGGTGCTCGCGAAGATCGGGCACGATGTGGGGCCTCCGGCTGCTTCTGCTGCTCCTGCCGCTGCTCCTGCTGCTCCTGCTGCTCCTGCTGCTGCTACTGCTGCTGCTGCTGCCGCTACTGCCGCTGCTGCCGCTGCTGCTGCTGCTGCTTGTGCTGCTTGTGCTGCGGGCCGCGTAGATCCCGCTGCGTGTCTGGCTTTCGTCGCTCTGTCTGTCTTGCTGCCGCTTACATGCTTTAAAAAACAATTAAGTAAATAAATGAATAAATAAATAATTAATTGATTGATTAATTGTTGAATAAGTGGTTCATCCACCTTCCCCGGTGGATAGTGAGCAGCTATGCGCATTTTGACCTCTGGGCGTACAAGGGGGCATCTCTGAATTGCATTGTTTATCCAGAATAGAAACATTAGGATCAAAATAAGTAAAACAAAAAAACTAAAATAAAATAAAATAAAATAAAATGTATTTAGGTTGCGTTTTGGTGTGCGTTGCGGCTGCTGGCAGCGGGCTGGGGGCTACAAGCTGAAGAAGCGGCCGCACAGCGAGCGGCTGGTGGGGGACTTGTCGCATTTCTTTGAAGTTCTTGTCTGGAGTGCAGATGAGCCCCCAGCTGTGCAAATGGCGCTGCAGCAGTGGGGCCTCCCAGTGACCGCATGCCTCAGCGCGGACACCATGAGCCGCAGGCACGGCCGCCGCGTCAAGGCGAGTCCGAGGGCTGCCAAAAAATTCAAAAATTCTCCACGAAGTCCCACTTTAACGTTGAAAAAAGAAGAAAAAGCTCGCAAAATCCACTGAAATTCAATAAGATATCGCAAATTTAACACGAGGTCTACACGAAGTCTCACTTTAGCTTTAGAAAAAGGAGAAAAACCATGCAAAGTCCACGCATATTCAACTACTTATCTCAGGTGCAACATGGATTCAACACGACTTCCAGCTTTCCACTCTTTTAAAGCCAGAAAGGCGACACGAAATCCGCTAAACGTCAACTACTACACGAATTATGGCTTTTCACTCTTAAAAAAGGCCACGCAAATTCTACTGATATTCAACAGCATCACACGAATTCAACACGAATTGAACATGAGTTCTAGCTTTTCACTCTTTTAAAGCCAGAAGTGCGACACCCAACTCAAACGAAAACTCAACTGAAATTAACACTAATCCGAGTTTTTCACTCTTTTAGAGCCAGAAATGCGACGCAGGCTTGATTAAAATTTAACACTATTCAAGTTTTTCTACTTTTAGAGCCAGAAGTGCGACATGAACTTAACGAAGCTTCTAGATTCAGCACAATTCAACTTCACACAATTCTACTTTGCACTCTTTCAGAGCCGGAAATTCGATGCACACTAGACTGAACTTCTGACATTTAACACCAACTCAAGTTTTTAACTTTGCAAGAACCAGCAATGCGATTCACATTTAACTGCAGTAATTCAACATTTTCACTCTTTTGGAGCCGGAGATGAAGCTTCAGAATTCAACACTAGTTTAACTTCGCACAATTCAACTTTTTCACTCTTTTGGAGTCAGAGCTGCGGCACTAGCTAAGCTGAACGTCAGGACTCAACACACCCAAAGCGGCGCTGCGGAGCCTTGCTGCTGCTGCTGTTTGCTGCAGCTGAGCTGCTGCACTGCTGCTGCACGTTTGCTGCTGGTTGCAGGACCTGAGCCGGCTGGGCCGGCGCTTGGATCGGCTTGTTTATGTGTCTTGTACTGAAGAAGGTCTTGAGGAAAAGTTTCTTCCGAATTTCATCAAAGTGACGCCTTTCGAGGGAACGGGTGTGGCCTTCCTCTTTGCTCCCTTTCTTTCTTTCTTTTGTTCTTTTCTCTGCTTTTTTATTGATTTCGTTCCCCTTTTTGCTTCCTTTCTTTGTTTCTTTGTTTCCTTTCCGTGCGTCTTTTAGTGCTCTCCTCCTCTTGCTTTCGTGGCTTTGTTTGTTTTCTTGCCTTCCTTCTCCTCTTTGCTCATTTTCTCTCCTTCTCAGTTTTCTTTCCTTGCTTTCCTTTGCTCATTTGCTTCATTTCTTTCCTTTGTGTTCTTCTTTTCTTTCTGTGTTATGCTTTCCTTGCTGTCCTTCCCTTGTTCTCCTTTTTTCCCTCCCTCCCTTACCCCCCATTATTTGCCCACCTTCAGTCATAGCGTAACTTCTTCTGTTTTTTTTCCATTTGCCTGTTTTTTTGTATCCTCTTTTTGTTTTTCTGTCTTTATTTGCGTAGTGGACCTGCAGCCTGTGCCTCTGAGTTGTCCTTCTATTTCCTGTGCCTGTCTTCTCTTGTCAGCTTGCTAATCCAGTGTTTAATTCTTGAGATCTATTTGTCTTTTGAGCCCTTCAGCTGCTCCTTTATCGTTTCCCCTGTCTGTTCTTCTAGCCGCCAAACATGAGCTCTTCCACGAGCAGCTGCTGCAGCCACAGCAGCCGGTGACTGTAGGTGCAGCTGCTGTTGCTGCAGGAGCAGCAGCAACAGCTGCTGGTAGCCAGGCCTCCCACTGGCTCCTGCCTCGCTTGTACGCCTGCGAATGCGCTGCAGCCGCAGAGGCGGCGGAGGACTGCGAGCTGCTGTCGCTGATAAACTTCTTGAAGCACTGTTCGCTGAGTCCCGACGACGTGCGCAGCAGCATCAGCAGGTACGGGGGGGGGACCATCCCGGGGGTCGGCAGCAGGTTCAATGAGGCCAAACGCCTGCAGGAGACCAAGGCCACGCAGCGCAGAAGCATAGGCCGTTTCCTGGGCTTCACGCAGACCCAGGGGGCCCCCAACTTCCTCGGCGCGGGGCCCCCAGGAGCCGCGCCGGCGGGCCTTGGGGGTCCCCTGGGGGGCCCCAAGTGACCCTGGACCCACTACAACCAACGGGGGCCCCCAGGTGCAGCCAAGCAGGCGCCCACGGGGCAGTTGGGGGCACCCGCTGGAGGCATCGGGGAGGGCTGTTCTTTTTGTTTGTTTTGGTTGACTGGTTTAATCGTTTTAACATCTTCGCTTCACTGCTGCTGTTGGAGACTCAGTTTCTTTTCAGGATTAATAAGTACTTTTTCAGTTTAGAGGCCTCATGGCTGCCCATGTTAGTTATAGGCACCCAAGCATAGGGCTCTACTTTGTTTGCTTCGCCTGATGAGACCTTCTATTTATATTTGAATTAAGAGGTAAAGATGCGCCTTTTGTGCCTTCGTGGGGATCTCGTGCAGCAGCAGCAGCTGCAGCAGCACCAGCTGCAGCAGCAGCATTAGCAGCTGCTGCTGCTTCGTTGAGGGAAAACACGCCTTGTACTTATTGGTACAGCAGCTATGGCATTTTTAGCCCGTTGGAACTTCGACGCAAAACCAAGTCCAAAGGGGCCAGGTGAAGCGTCACCATCTGCATTCTACCAATCCACTTTATGTCAGATTATTCATGTGCTCATGCAAATGTAATGTACTACAAATTCATTTTGTCATTTTATTCATGTATTCATATACATGAACAGCATTATATACATACATGTATATGTATGTATGTATAAAATGTTCATGTATATAATACTGCTCATGTACAATATGAAATATATAAACATAATGACTTTACAAGCACAAACGCACAAACAAGTATATGAGTGTTTTGACGCCTCCTGATAGAGGTGAAGAAAAAAGCTGGAGCTGAGCTCCTTCACCTTAACCTCAGACAGCCACTTTCCCACAAGAGAAACGCCTAAGCCCTAAACTATCATATTTTTAGTAACTTTTGTGTTTTGTGTGTATGCGTATAATTAGTTGCGTGCGTATCTGTAGCACCGATATATGCGTAATACACGTATATACATATTTAGGTGTGTGCACGCCTAATATATATATATATATATTTGCCTGTAATGTGTCTGTATCGAGAAAATCTGTAATATGAGTAATTAGAGTCACTTGCTTGCTGGCGCATGCACAGATCTGCTGCACTGCTTCGTTGCTGGGAGAAAATGCACGCAGAAGCAAGTCAAACTCAGGTGTACATGAGAACAGCTCCGCACTAAATTTTGCTGTCTTCTTTTGAAATTAATTAATAACAAAATTAATAAATTCAAAAGAAATTAAAAAGACGCAACTCTGTGTGCGTGTTTCGCTTCTGCCGGCTAAGCAGGCCTTTTGCCCGTTTGTGTCTTCTTGCTATTTGCTGTTGCTGCTGCGCTCCCTGCTGCTCTCTTGAGTCTGGTCCCAGCCTTCACATTCAAGGCCTTTATTGTTGGTGTTGCTGCTGCTGCTGCTGTAGTGTTGCGGCTGCTTGCTTTTGCCTTCGCACTTATTTGCTTACACTCTGTGCCTGAGGCCCCACACTGACGCCCCTCAGACAAGAGGCCCTCCCGCTTCAGCCGCTGCTCCACCGCAGCAGCTAAGGGCTTAACAAGATACGCAGAAAAAATAGAGAACGCAAGCGAATGGCTGCCAGGGTCTGCTGCTGCTGCCGCTGTTGCTGCTGCTGCTGCTGCTGCTGGTGGGCTGCTGCTGCTGTGGGCGACAGCCGACGCGGTCGCAGCAGAAAAAGCACTGGGAGCCACCCGCTGAGCTGAAATCGCCCTTGCTAGTTTGTTGTGTTTGCGGAGAAGAAAATCTGTTGTCTTTGCCGAATTAAATCGGACAAATAAGCAGCCACTGAGTGCAGCAGACAGGCGCTCGCGGCCCTCCTCAGCAGTCACAGCAGCAGCAGCAGCAGTAGCGTCAGCGGCTGGTGGCTCTGTCTCAGCAGCAGCAGCTTCACAATTCAGCAGCCTGAGGTCGCATGTGCAGTGCAGCCGCCGCAACACGGCGGGGTGCTGCGCGAGGGCCTGCAGGTTGCTGCGGAGGTTTGCGTCCAGCTTGTTGGGTGCAGCAGCATCCAGCAGTGGCAGGAAAGCTGTAGCAGCAGTTTGCCTCAGGTGGGGCAGCAGCAGCAGCAGCGGGTCCATGGGGGTGGCCAGCAGCAACGAGCCGTCGCCCAGCAGCAGCTGCGGCGGCAGCAGCGCCGAGCAGGTGCCCACGCTTCTGCAACTTTTGTTTATTTCATAAATGACTTCGCCACGGACAAAGAAGTCCACGGGAACCTCAGGCGCTGACGGGTACGGCAGCGCCAGTGGCTGCAAAGACTGCCAGCTGGCCTTCTTCTGCGGCGCTCCAGACTCCTGTGGTTTATTTGGTGGGGTTGCTCCTGAGGCTTTGGGGCCACCAGCAAGTACAAGAAGTCGCAACTCGCTTGGACGAGGAGTTCGGCCCCCCATTCTGGTGACAGACTCCTTCTGAGCTGCGCAGTTGGTTAGACAGCCGGAGATTCAATACCGCGAAATATGGTGGAAATTGGCCAGTGTTGCCGTCTTTGCCGCTCTATAAAAAAGGAATTCCTTATTTTTCCACGTTCTTTCGGGTCTTCATTTAAATTTCAGGAGAGTTGAGCCAACTCGAGGGGGTTTCATGCGATAGTGCCGTGGACTTGGCTTCAGAAATCGACTGGGGCTGTGCGTGTATGCCTGAGGATTTGTATGTTCTCTGTCCTGGCATTAAAACATGTATCTAATAGCAGTAGTCGGAAAATTAACTTTTAGTTCAAGCCGCGAGATAGCTGTGAGCTGCTCTAGTTTTTCGCTGAAGTGGCTGTAAGGGCTTGTGGTGGGTGGAGTGAGGCTGGATGTTGTGTTTATTTCTCTTCTTGCCGCCTTACAGCTTGACTCAATTTCATCTGAGTTAACAAAATCGGGTATCCTGGTAATTTGTTGATTTATGGAGTTGACTCTTCGCAAGAAACTGAAGTGGGACGCGGGACGCCTGAAACCAGGAAGAGAGCTCGTTATTAAAGCTTCGGTTTACTTAGGCCTTGAATGCGGCGTTCGCAACTTATAGATTATTTTTTGGCGTAAATCCGATATATATTGAATATTTTTACCGGCATTTACTTTTCTTGATGTGCCGAAAGTTGCGAAACTTCTATTTGGTTAGCTCCGTAAACTCCTGCTTCGTGCTGCTCAACGTTTCGTTGGCGGTTGCGGCATCGAGACTATGGCTAAAACGGGAACTAGCTTAACACAAGGTCAATAATTTCATGCAAGGCTGGAAGCATGTGCCAAGAAGAGACAGAAAGGCATGCATTTTAAAATTGTCTTGTAATGTAAAGTCAGTAGACGCGGGAATATCACTAGCGGGGAAAGAGAGCCTCAACAGTCTAACTGAGACTCCCCCATTTCCTTCCCACTTCCTTCAGAGGTCTGGCTAGAAAGCAGCAGTACGTAGAAGTTTCCAGATGAAGAGCGATTAGATCTCTGTGTTCAGATACAGGGAGCTGCATGTTTCTGCAGGGATAGTGCACGCTGGAGAGTTTCTGGGTGCGACTAACTGTCGAAGTTTCGCCTTTCACTCCTTGCCTTTGTTCCTTCCTGGGAATTTTCCTTTTTGTCGCACTGCTAAGGATTATCACTTTTGAAGCTTGGGCGAAAGTCTGTCCACCAATTTCTTCTACACTTGATCTCGCCAGCATTGGCCTACAAAGGAGGTCAATTCTGACCTCTATTTGGTTATATTGAAGGCGATACCTTCCGTTGTCTGGGTCCACACTTTGTCTGGAGTGCGAGAAGATGAAAGGTACAGCCTAACTGCCCTAGACAGAAAATTTAGGCTTTTATGGGTATTCTAGTGCACTCGAGACGCAGTGGATGCTGCATTTATTTCGATGTTTGATATTCCTCGCTGGTCCTCACCCACAACGGGCGTTTTTCTCGAGGGGCTGTGCTGCGGTACGCTAGAGTAACCAGGCCCTACCGCCGTGAAAAGACCTGAAATACTTACTGAATTGGATGAGGGTGAAAGGATACACATGTTCAGTATGCGTATTACACACAGACATATATATGTATGATGTGTAAGATGCGCGAGAACACATATTTGTCGATACACATGCATTGAGGTCACGAATCCGCGTATTGTTCGGCATTTATTAAAGGAGGTTAGGGCTGCCCATTCTCCCACAATCGGCTAGACGTGAATCTATTTTTGTTTGTGAGCCCAAACAACAGCTATAGCAGCATGCGACTGCTCCTCTATCCGTGCAGCGCTGTGTGTCGTATGTTTGCACTGTATAAATGCGTGTGGACATCCATATAAAGCAAATAGAATGTTAGGAATAGCCAGCACTTGCTATCTGATTTTCACTGATGGCTGCATTGTGTCTACAAGGTCTATGATGCATTGTGCCTTTACTTAGGAGACACGTCAGTCCGTACTTTTCATTTACGCGATAAACATCATAAGTCTTCCCCACGTAAAAGCAACTCTCCACCTGCTGCTTTAGGGCGCAGGAACAACATTTAATGTCGTACAGCTGCCAAAACGAATGTTTCATGAGGCCAGAATTATACTTCTGAGCAATAAACAATGTGAGCTTGAAGAACTACAATGTGCTAACTAGGTGAAGGTAGCTGAAACTGTGCCACAATGCGTGCGGAGCTGCGTGCGGTGGAACCTGCGCATTGAATTCTTCCATGAATTGGGAATAAATGTTTGAAATAATTATCCGTAAACAAGTCTCCCCAATACCAGTTGAGGCTTACAGTTCAACATAGGGATTTTAGCTCATTTACTTCCGCTGACCGGCACACAGTACAAGGCAAGGCGCCCACCTACCCAAGTTCCCGGGCTTTCGAAGGCCGCCCCAGTCTTCTTTATCTCCACTGCCCCACGCTTTGCAAATAATTAAATGTTTGATCAAATAATATGCTAATTGGCAGTTTCAAAGAGGAGTTTCAACTAGGGCACGCGGGTGACCTGCACAAGGACTGGCGCCCTTTTCCCTGAGCATGCATCGGGGCTTCAGCCCCACACCAGCTAAGGGATTTGCTATTTTCCTCTACA